AGGATGGAGATGATATCTTCAAGTATGTAAGATGTTCAATTTATGGTTGATGGGACATCGTTGTTGTTGACCTCATGTCAATTTGGGAAACTTGAATAATAATATGACCATGATCATGGTCAGAATGATGTTACATGGATACAGGGAGAGAGAGATGATATTACTACTGTTGCAAAAGTATTTGTTTGCACACTGAGAGTAAGAGAGAGAGAGAGAGAGAGAGAGAGTCAGAAATGATTACATGATGAGGAAGATGATAAGGGAAAGAAAAAAATGAATACGAAAATGTTGAATATATTCAAGTCATATCCATGGTTATTTTGCTTATATTTGCAAGATGGAAACTCTTGTCAGTTTTTTTAGCATTTTTAAGGATCACTCACAATGGGATGATGGTGATGAAGAAAAGGAAATCAGCCTTTTTTTACTCTCTCTTTTCCATCTTCATGTAATATATACATGTATCTCTCTATGAATTCGTATGTACAATATGTATATTTATGCTTATGTATATTATTATTTTCTGGCATCTTCCTTGTCATGTCCAGTATTTTTTAAAGGGTCAAACACAGAAGGATGTGAATACATTTGCAATAAGGTAACAAATGTATTAAAATCGAGGGAGCATGAAAATTGGATAAGGTTTTTTTCGTGAAGGAAGACAATTTGATGACGACGATGATGATGATAACATAGAGAATGGAAATTTGTAAGATATGAAGATGATATTATATGTTATGCAAAAGATTAAGATTAGAAAATTGGGTGAAAATGATGATAATGATGATGATAAAAGGGAAGAAGATGAAGAAGAGGGAAATTGCTTTTGAAATTTGAGGGGGGATGACGAAGAAGATGATGATGCTGATGATATAAGAAGACAAATAGCAATTTGATATAATGGTATTTATTGGCAGTCAGCATGCAAAATGATGATGATGATTATCATCATGTTATATTATACAAGTTGAATGATAACGATGATGATGATGATGATGATGATGATGAAGGGAGGAAGATGGTATGAAAATGATTCCTTTTTTTGTCCACTGATAATATGGTCAATGATAAATGGACATGAATGACCATTGAGATTGTGAATATACATATTGGTCATGTTGGATTGTTCAAGGTTGATCATGATAATCATGATGATGATCATCATGATATTGTTGTTGAGACAAAGTTGAATAAAGTGGTTTTGGTCAGTTTGGAAAGATGAATTCATTAGATGCCTATGATAACCATGATGATGAAGATAATGAGATGATGATGATCAGAGTAACATGCAAACAAGAGAGAGAGAGAGAGAGAGTAATCAAAATTATGATGATACTTGATGAGATTGTCAAGTATATACCAATGGGTCATTTATTTTTGTACCATCGTGATTAACATTGATTTGTAACAATTTAGAATTTTTTTCCCTTGATTGTTGATATTTAAACCAATCAACAATTTCCTAGGAAACGAGTAAAAATTGTAAATTGTAAAAACTGATTGTTAATTTAATTTAGTTATTTATTGTTTCTCCCCCTGCCTGTATTAACATGAGATGATCAAATTGATTAGATTACATATTAAATTAATAATAATAACAATGATCATGCGAGAATATAATATATAAATTGTTGACCATTCATACAATAGTTAAATTCAGGATAAATAATAGATTGTGAATGTCAAGAAAATGTAATTGCAATTACAATTATAATTGCAAAAATCTTTCTGCTTGGTAATACATATTAATGGTATACAATTAGATTAATATAATAACTGAAGCTGATTTTTTGGTCTGAAAAAATGTGATAAAAAAACTAAAGTAGTAACAATTTACCATGAAAATTATCATGAGTATGATTATAATATCATTTGAAATAAACATTCTGATTCATGAGGAAATATTATTAATGTTTAATAGTTTGAATTATATCATGAGGATGAAGATGAAGATGAAAATTCACAAAGAGATGTTAGTTTATTATAATTTCTTTGTGTATTTGATTTGCTTTTTGTTTCTATTCCTGAGTTTGGATTCATTAATCATGATGGAAACTTTGACTTTCCATAGGTTTTGCTTTTCGCTCATTGAAATGTCAAGGAAAACTTTTCTTTGGACTTTTTGTATTCTTTTTTTCTGGCTGTTACTTTTTCTTGGTTCCTGTCAATCAATTGTAACCCCAAGTCAACATAAGGGTCACCTATGGTCAGTTGCAATATGTTAAGGGTGTAAGAGAGGAAGGGTCAATAGAGAGGAAATGGTTTGTTGTCTGAGGATGAAGATGGTGAGGAAAAGAGAGACTCCAAGAAATAATCAGCTGAATGTTGTACTGATTAAGCTAATTTTCTAGCCTTTTCCATGATAATCATGATAATCTAAACATTGATCTTCTCCATCTTCATCTTATCTTCCTCTTGTTTTTATCTCTTCTTCCCACTCTCTCACTCTCTCTCCAGATTGTTTAATCTTATTGACTCTATTAATTAATTGTATTGTTATCAACTCACCTTATTGTTGTTTCTTCATAATAAAAGTTATTCAAGGTAAAGAAGAGAGTGAGATAATAACATGATGATTATTATCACCATGATCACCATTGTTATCATTTGAGGTTAAGGTGACAATAAAGGATAAGTAGATGATGATAATGTCCAGTCAAGGTCCAAGAGAAATCAAATTATATGTAAATTATTATTCTGATTATGTTAATCTTCATTTTCTTTCCCAAATTATTCATCACATTTGGAATAAGATTAGAATGAGACTTGATCGTCTTTCATTATCATTTGATTATCAAATAAATCGTATTCATTTTTTTCCTCTCCTTCATCCATAAGTAAAGATGAGTAAGAAAGAGGAAGAAGATGATGAGATTCTGCCTTTTCTTTTGTCTTTTTATTATGATTACATTGAAATGACCATTTGAAAAGAAGGACAAAATTGACTCTCTCTCTCTCTTTCTCTCTCGGATGAAGTTGGATAAATCCTTGTCCAAGAAAATCATCTTCATCTTCATCTTCATCCTTATCCTTTTTTGCATACACTCATTTTCATCCGACATCATCATCGGTTTGAGCGATAGATAGAATGATCTCCATTAGAAAATAATAGAAGCTTAGTTTTATCTTCATTCTCATCATCATCTCCTTTGTTTTCTCTCTTTTACCCTCATCCTCATCTTCATCCTTATTCTGCATATTTTCCTTTTGTCCATTTTGTCTAACTTTCATTTCGATTTTATCGAAGTATCTTCAACTATTACATTGATCCACTTTCTCTCTTTCTCTCTCATCATTTTCATCTCCAATATTCAAAATTCATCCAGAGATATCATCTCTCTCTCTCTCTCTCTCTCTCTCTCTCTCTCTCTCTCTCTCTCTCTAATACCCACTTAAACAGTAGGCCCCTGACCTCCTCTTGTTCATCCTTCTCCTCCTTCTTGTTTCCATCATCGGATAACCGTTATTTTAACATCCAAAAAGTATGAAGAAAAAAAAACTTGGAAACTTTTTTGTTTCCATTGATAAACATTTAATTCAAATATTAAACGAGTGAAAAAAATTTTTATTCCGATGATATTTTTGTGCTTTTTATCCTCAAATTGAAAGCTTTTTTTAGTCCCATTGACAAAACACACTCTCACTCATCTTCCACTTTTGTTATCATCTTTTTTTCATCATTTATTGCGATTAACAATGAGATGATGATTATTTTGATTATTGCAATATGAGATGAGAGAGAGAGAGAGAGAGAGAGAGAGAGAGAGAGAGAGAGAGAGAGAGAGAGAGAGAGATAACACCAAGAGATGCTTATCATTTGTACCTTGTTTTTTATGCAAACTCGAAGTCCTTTACACTTTGAATCTCGCTAATATAATATGTGACCAACATCTGCCTTCGTATGCAATTGTATCCAAATGCTAATATTGTACACGAGAGTAAGAAAAGTAATAAATAGTTTGGATCAAAAAGTAAACTAAATTCGAGTGAAAATTGTACAAAAAACTCGTCGAATTGAAGTAAAATCTGATTAAGATTATGCAGATCAGTTTATCACTTCGGCTTATTATCGCAGGCACACTTATTGTATCTTCAAATGTAGTTTTCTTTTGGCAGAATAAAAAAAAGTAATACAATTGTATTAGAAAAAAAAGAAACCGCAATTGCACAAATATCAACAACAGCAGTAGAATTTGCAATTAAATGAGTTCTGTTTACAAAAAGTAACTTTAATTATGGCAGAAAAATCGATGTTTTGTTCATTGAGGGAAATGAATTTTCACCTGATTTCATGATGTTCATCATCATCACAAGCAAAATGTTTCATGTTGACTGATTGGCTATTCAATTCTAATGACACCATATTCGGGGTTTATATTCAGTTCCCAAGGAGCTCATTATATCCTTTCCAATGGACTCACTTTAAAATCTTTTCTCTGCTTTATTTATCCTTAGAATTTTTCTTCTTCTCACCCTCTTCCTCCTCTCAGTTTTCATCCAATTCTCTCTCTTTTATGTATTTTCGCATTTTCCTTGGCCTTTACACTTTGTACCTTTGGTCTTGTTGGTTTGCATTCACTTTGCATTCTCTGAATTAAATTGAAAGTATTTCTATCAACATATATTGGTAATCATTTGTCTAACAATTCTTAGTTCACCTTATCCTTTTCATCATCATTATCATCATCATCAGTCCATTTAGTTTATTTATGGTTGAATATTGAGAGAGGGAAAAATATCAATTCCAAATCGGATCGAATGAGATATTATCATTTCTATTGGTTGATTCCTTATTTTTTCTGTAATTCAAACGCATTTTCAGCAATTTGTTGCCAAAGAAGGAGAAATAATTTGCAATTTTGTTTATTATTAACATTAATCAAATTGTATTTCCATTCGATATTGAATATCATGTATGATAATCAAATGCTACAAATCAACAAGAAATATCATTTAGCCAGCAAAGTATTGGACCAATTTACAATTAAAGGGATTAAACAAATGAGATAATCATCATTAGTGTCACAATTGATTGAGAATTTGTTATGAGTGATTCTATTTTTATGCATATTCTTTTGGTGTAAATATAATATTTCCACTGAACATTGGGCTAGAATTCTCATGAATATGGGCAAAGAATCAAGAGGAATTGGTCAAAGAAAAAAGTAACTGGCCATTAATTTGGATTCTTTTTTATACCAAGTAACTAATACCATCATCATCATCACCATCATCAGATAATGAATATGAAAGATACGTTCATGAGATGAGAGAGAGATGCTATTTGTTAGCTCTTCCTTTTTCCATTGCTTTTTGCAAGGAAAATGAGATTATAAACATGGTGATGATGATGATGATAGAGAAAAGACCAAAACAAGAAGATTTATATCAGTGAATATAGTATATGCTTTTTTTCATTCTCCCTGTGAATTCAATGAATGCTCAGTGTTTCATTCAGATAAGTTTTTATATTCGTTCTGTGTTTTTGCCTTTGGAAGAGAAAAAAATAAATAAAGAGTGAGAGACTTGGCGAAAAAGAAAGAGAAATTGAGAAGAAGAAGAAGATGATGATGATGATAATGAAGGAGCAATCAGTGAATGCCTTTTTCATCAATAAATGATCATCACACATCGAAAAAAGGAAGATGATGAAAAGATGAAGATTGTATTTATGTATCAAGTCTTAGAGTGAGAATGGTGATGAGGAAAAAAAAAGTTCCAAGAGAAAAAGTAACTTGAATAACTTGTATTCTTTGGTTGATTGAGAAAGAATAGGGTATGAAAGGATGAGAGAATGATGAAGATGATGAGGATGATAATGAAAAGGAAACGAAAATGATGAAGACTTTCATCTTTCTGTCTTCTCTTTCTTTCTCTCTCTTTCTCTCTGAATAATCTGATTCCTTATGGATTTGAATGGTTTATCATTATAATAGATAAGGAAGAAAAAATTATATGGAAATCAATGTTATCATCTGAAAGGATTCAATATGCATGAGAGAAGATAAGAAGAAGATGATGATGATTGTGATGATGAAAATGCACAATCTGAATAGATTGATCTATTTCCACTGAATAGAACAAAAGAGGAATAACATTGGACATTGGTCATCGGGACTTGACCATTGGGGAGTAACCTCAAGAATAGATAATATATTCAATATTATTAAAACATTTTTGCATCTCATCTTCATCTTCCCTCATCATCCTCATCATTATTATCCTTTTGGCGTCCATATAGATTATCAATAATATTTAATCCTTTACCGGTCAGTTGATGGACAATCAGAGGGAGAAAATGAAAGTTTTTCTACTTTTCTCTCTCTCTCTCTCTTTTTTCCCTTATCATCTAAGGTCAGTTTCTGACCTGAAATCACCTTCTTGCATATTCATTTATGGATGAGGAAGATGATGATGATTAAAGTTGTTATTATTATATCATTCCTATCTGTTTACTCAGCATCCAAATCATCCTGAGTCTTTGTTGAATTTATTTCCTATTATCATTATTATTACATTACCCTTTTGGTTCATCTTCATCATCATTTTCATCCTCATCTCCATCCTCATCCTCTATTTGTAAATATATGTATGTAACTAACCATGCAAAGGCCAAACATTGATTGTAATAAGAGTTACAATCAACATAATAATAATAACAATCAACTAAATCTCTGATCTCTAATTTGTTTCTTACTCTTCATCTTATATATTGTCTATTAATTCAAATTGTGTGTGTGTTGAGAATTGATGATTTAACTTACACTTTGGATTTTGATTCACTATTTGTACATGTATTATCTTCATTATCATCATTATTATTGTTATTACCTCTAAAATCCTAAGTTAATCATATTAATATACAAAAATATACACACACAATAAGATGATTGTTAAATTATATCAACCGCTTGACCCAAACCTTTTTGTATCATCCCGATGACCAGCAACTTATATTAACTCATAATTATGATTATCTGTAAGCAAAGGGATAAAAATGAATAATAATTATTAGTTATTATGATTGTACTATTACGGAAAATTATATTTACTGGTGAAAATGTTAATCAAATAATGAAAATGTGAATACAATTAATGAATATCAATTGGATTGTCCAATCCAATTGTTATAACCTCAATGTTGAATTTCATGTTCACACTGATTGTCAATCAATAAGTTAATTCATTTGGTTATAACAATTGATTGTATGATAAAATAATCTAAGCTTGACCAATCCAATTTTTGAAAATTTACACATGTAACATGAAGTTAAAAGACTGACCATCATTCAGATTATCATGATAGATATTTATTTCTCATCAGAAATTGAGTAGAGACAAAAAAGTTTTTTTTTCTCCAATTGTTGAAGGTAACTTGCAATTCGGGTCCATGTTAATATTGGATATTTATATGAAAATAATATCGCCTCAGGTGATTCTCATCCATATTATTATTTATTTCTGAGGTTTTTACTTTATTTTTCCATCTCCCGCTAATGTTGAATCTCTGAATACCTGAATTATCATGAATTTTGAGCAAACAAAGGAAAGAAAAAGGTGAAAAGATAAAAGCAAATGAAATGACCATTGGATCATCTGAGTATTCAGTATTAATATATGTTGATTGTATGAATTTTTAGTTCATTTCATTTGGAGTTTTTTTGATTTTCCTTCAGAATCATTTATATCTAAGGTGATAGAAAGCAAAAAATTTGATTGATGATAAATCATAATAGATTCAAATGCTACAATTGAATCAAATTGTGAATCAGGAAGAGGCAAAAAAAAAGGTTCATGATGATCATGAGAATAGGAGAAATTGGAAATCATCCGATTTTCATGGTGAATACAGATGAAAAAAAGGCAATCATGATCTAAAGAACTGAGAGAGAAAAAAAATTTCATGTATCATCAGAATTAACTAATTGTTGTATATAACCCATAATCTAATCATTTCTCTTTTTTTTTCTTATTCTATCTCTAGTTAATTTAGGATTGAAATCAGTTAACTCACCTTTTCATCTTCCACATCATTTACTGGACTCACCTGAATCAAAGGTAAGCCTATTCAATAATCAATCACTGATTCCATCACTATTGAAATGATCAATTTTTTTTCCTTCCCATATTCTTGAAATTGATTTGTGGGACTGATTATTTATGCATAATCAATAATAATAATCAATAAGAATAATAATAAATAATAATGATAATGTTAACATTTACCATCTAAAGGATATTATTATCATTTAAATACCTTGAGGGTTTGTTTGTTTATTTGTAATGTTACCTCATCCACTCAAAGTCCGACCCCCTCACCTCCTCTTACTTTTTACATAATTCATTCATTCATTTATTCAATGAAATTGAAATGAATTGATGGTTGTAAAGGTGGTGGTGATGGTGGTGATGGTTATGATTGTATAGATGTTGATCTTTGAAACCCCCTTTTACCTTTAACATCTTTGACCTTGTCAGAAAGTCTTCATGTTATTAAGGGATGAATATCCTTCCCTGTTGATGCTCATGTATATAAGTTTATTTAAGTTTCCACTGAAATGAAATAAACAAATAAACAAACAAATCCCTCTAAGGAAAATTTATTCTGAATAATAACAATATCATTCAGAATATGTATGATGATGAGGAAGAAGAAGATAAAATAATAAAAAAGAAGACGAAAAGTAATATAATATATAAACAGGAGACTCACTCACTCTGTTTCTCTCTCTCTCTCTCTGTGTTTAAAGTTTAGTCAAATGTATTCGTAGAATTTGATAAAAAAATTCTTATTCCTTGCTGATTTTTTTTCTCTCTCTCTATTTTCATCTTATTCCTTGAATGTTGGAAGACCAGTGGTGAGCAAAATCTTGTTGAGCCTTAAGGAGATGATAAAGAGTCGGATGAGAATGATGATGATGCTTGGAGATTCTGTAGTTGACAGAAGAATGAGAGAGAAATAAAAATTAGTATATTTCCTTTTTATCTATTCAACTTATTCTGTATCAAAATCAACAAGAAATCTTTTTTCTTCTTCATTGTTACCATGTTCATATTCCCTTCTCTCTATCTCTATGTTTTCTTCATGATCATCGTTCTCAGAGTTAAAAAAAAATGTATTAAATTTTCGAGAGATAATAAATTGAGTCCAGAAAGAGAAAATCAGATAAAGATGAGCATGGTAACATGGGAAGATGATATTTATACATAACAAGATTAAAAAGATTTGGATAAGAAAAAGTTGTAAAATTTTGTTCTATTACTTTGATTCCAAGTTGAAATTCATCCAGAACTTTTTTTTCACTTCTCCAAATTCCCCTGGAAAATATTCATGGTAAATCTTTTTCCTTTTGCTGATTCTCAGTGTGAAATCTTCTTGGGATTAAGGATGAAACTTAGGATTTCTCATTTAGAAGTGAAAATCTTTGGAAAGTTTTTCTTTCTCTGAGAAAAATATTTTTGCATATTAAATTAATTTTCCATGTTTATGAAGAGGATAATTTAATTCCATTGGAAATTGTGTTCATCATTGATTTGATTGTTGAGGAGAGAAAAAAATTAACAGGAAATTAAATGAAGATGAAAAAGTGTAAATCTGATTAACATGGAAATGAATGTTTATGCATCGACGGTGGGGTTGGTGATTTTTACCATGAATCTGAATGGTGAAAATGAAGAAAAAAAAGAGATGATGATGATGATCAGGGAGGAGAAGAAGATGATGAGGGAGAAAAGTCCATTCGTTACACTGAAGGAAAATAAAAGAAGGAAAAAAATGTTAATAGAAAAAAAAAGTTGATTCCAAGTTCTAATTGATATTGTGTTTCATATTTTACCTCCTCATTCATTTTCTTTGTGTATTTAACTACTCCCAGGGAATTTTTTTCTCTCTCTTCCTCCACCATCTCTCTCTCTCTCTCTCTCTCCTCCTGTGTTAATAATAAATGGCTTCTAATTTCCTATGGAAAAAAAGATTCAGCTCGACAACAGCAACAACCTAATTTTCACTTTCCTTTTCCCTTTTTTCTGTTCCATGTATTTGTATTTATCTTTTTATCATCTTGTATATTTCTCCTTCCTTATCCATCCACGGGCAATCCAATCAAGTCTTTTTTGTCTGTTCCTCTTTATCATCAGCATCTCTCTCTCTCTCTTCATCCCTTATCGAGCACCATCATTATCTTCATCATCATTATTACTTTTTTTTCATAATAAACTGCATCCACTGGAAGGTATTTAGTTGGTTGGTTTGCTCAAAAAAAAACGAAAGATGAAATGTCTTTATATTGCATTTACGCTGATAGATGTTGATAATAGTGCAGATAATTCAATATCCTCTTTTGCTTTTGAATTTACATTAATCAACTTTTCTTGTTGATGGTTAATTGGTTGTGATGAAATTTAAGATGATTGTGATTTGGGTGTTGATTGTTTTGAGTCATGGTGACATTTTGAGTCGGCTTTCCTCTTGTTTGATGATGAAATTGTTACTCTCTCATTTGACTTGTAAATTTTCACACTTTTCTTTATCATCTTTGTCTTTCCGGTCAACAATTAGGATTCATCACGATATAAGGTTCGATATATGACCAATGAAGATTACGGGATGAGTGAAAAGGTTGATAATGTTCACAATGGACACCACAAGGAACCGATTAATTATTGTTCAGATAATTCTGAGATGGATGATATGGAACCCGAAGATGACTGTGATTCAATGGATTCGGAGAAATCTCTTAATCTGGTTAGTATTTGTCTTTTTATCAGAACCATAACATTTGATACAAATTCATTTGAATGTTACGATTTTCATGAGTTAATCATTTAACTGTTTATTATCTGTTTCCTTGAACGTAGACGATGGGAGATAATTCAATGGATACTTCAACACCAACATCAACCACAACGTTAATCTCAACAAATTATAATGATAAACATTTTACTTCCTCCAATGGAACAGTTAATCTGGTCAACACTTTGTCAACATCTCTCAATTCAGCTAATCGAGTTATCCTTAATCCAGTTTCTAGTGTATTTAATTCACCTTCAATATCATCATCTTCTTCATCAGGATCAGGATCGGGATCTGGTTTACATTCAAATACAATTAAAACAACAACCTCATCAACAATAACCAATCAAACAGTATTACTGCCTTCATCTTCATCTTCAGGTGGATCATCATCACCGACAACAGTATCTCCACTTCCGGCCTCATCACCTTTATCATCCTCATCACCAAATGCATCAGCAGCCACAACATCGGCATCAATAGCCAATAATTTACATCAATTGGAGCAATTACAGGGTATCCCTTTGAACCTTAAAGGTAATGGTGGTGGTTCAAGTGGAGGATCAAATGGCAATGGTATTAAAGGTGAATCAGCAGGTAATACAGGTAATCCTAATCCCAGTGGAACTGATTTAACAACAAATAGCTCCAAGAATCTTTCCTCTAGTTCAATCGATGGAAACAATTGTAATAATAATTGTAGTAATAACAATAATAGTAATAACAGTTTACCATCTAATACAATCAACAATGGTAATGATAATGGTTCAACTGGTCCAAATGACCTTTCAACTGGATCATCATCTTCATCTTTAAATCGGTCACCAGCAAATTCATTGGCAGCGCCCAATTTATTAGCTTCAACTGCGGCAGCAGCTCTTGCGGCAGCGGCAACAACAGGATCTAATTTACCAATTAATCAACTGGCACAGGTAAACAATCAAAACAAAATCTAAATTCTAAACCAATTAACAAAAAATCAATAGCAAAGAGATGAAAATCAAATGTTAAGGTTAAACAAAATCTTTATACACTAAAGGGTTAATATGTTTATAGAAAAAAATGAAAACTCTTTTTTACCTTTTAACTGAATTGATTCAATTTTAATTGTGATTCCAAACATGGATCAAGATGATAAATTAACTAATTGTCAATTTAAATTAATTGAATTAAGAACAAAAAAACAATTAAAAAATAAAAACATTCAGTTGAAATCAGAAGATGAAAAAAATTGTCTCTTGATGATGAATCATAATGAGTCCTCGTTGGGTTGATTGGTTGATCTTTCTAATTATTACCATTGGTTGGGATTAGATTGATGGTTTGATTTATACTTACGATTGTTTTTAATTTGTTTTTCTTAATTATTTACAGTTAATGGCCGCTGCTGGAGCAGCTCAAGGACAATTATTATTACAAGCAACTTTAGCTCAACAATTACAACAAGCGACATCAAAGGTAAGAGTTAATATTATCCCTGTTGATATAAATGTAAACATGTTCCAATGTTTAATCACTTTCTCTCTCCCAATTAAACCGTTTCTTAATTAATTTTTTTTTCTCTCTCTCTCTCAATCTTTGGTCTTTCCATAACAATAGCAAATACCGGTAACTCCTAATCTTGGCGGTTTCCCATTAAATGCAACCGATTTACAACAATTCCAACAACAACTTCAACAACAACAACAAAATTTACAAAGCCTTCAACAGTTAATCCTCCTTCAATCAACTGGACAATTGGCTCCTAATTTACAGGCAATGTTATTACAGAATCAGGTAAATATATTTATACCCTTGTAATCAATGAGATGCTCATTAGATTAACTTTGTTGAATAATTAATTTGTTGGTTAATCTAATTGAATGAAATGAAATTGTGTCGACAGGTTGAACAAGGTTACCTTCAGCAAACCCTACAAACCTTAGCTGGACATGGAATGTCTTTGCCTCAAGTTGCTGTTGCAGCTCAACAATTACAACAATTACAAGAATCACTTGGTATTAATGGATCATCATCATTATCTTCAACCAATTCATCGCCATCATCAGCATCTTCATCCTCATTAGGATCTCAGGAATGTTCACCACAAACCAAATCTTCATCATCATCAATATCTAATCATCACCAACAACAACAACAACAACATCATTCCCATCAAACTAATTTATCAATCACGGTTAATACACCTTTCCATAATGGTGATCATAATCATAATCATCATCACCATCAACATCATCGTAACACTAAAGGTGATACTAGAAAATCAAGTCCAATAATATCTGATCGTAGGTCACCTTTAACAATTAAAGAAACAGCCCAACAACAAATTAACCGTTTACTTGGTTCACAATCAACTAAATCATTAGTTAATTCAATGAATACTGGACGTGATACACCGACAACGATTATTACACCAACGGGATCAATGGCAAATGCTATCGCAACTACAATTACTTCACCTTCGGCCCAAAGTCCATCTCCGACAACCTCATCATCAACCTCATTATCTTCATCTTTTATCTCATCTTCATCTTTACCCAACAATTTATCATCTAACATGAAAGTTAGCCAATTAATGTCCTCAGTGGCAGCTAATTCAACTTTAAATGGTAATCAAAATAATAGTACTTTAAACAACAATCATCATCACCATCATCATCATGTCACCAACGGCAATAATAATACTATCAACAATAGTAATAATAACAATGGTTTCAGTAATGGTAACAATAATCAGACTAAATTAAACCAACGAAATGGCTCATCATCGGACATCCTTTGCAATCAAAATAAAGTTATCAATTTGGTTAATCATCACAATATCATGAATGGTTTAAATGATCCACTTTCATCTGCATCTTCAGCATCCTCATCATCTTCATCTAATTCCAATCATCATCAAATAACATCAATACGATCACGAACTGAAACAAGTCCTGAAGAGATGACAGATCTTGAAGAATTGGAACAATTTGCTAAAATGTTTAAACAACGAAGAATCAAATTGGGTAAGAAATTAAATTCGATTCTCAGTCAACAATCAACAATCTACATTTGTTATATTCTCCTATTCATATTAATCAATCTAAATGACAATTAACTTCTTATTATTGTTACTTGTCTCTCTCTCTCTCTCTCTCTTTCCCTTGTAAACAAATCACTTGAATGTTGATTAGCATTATAATCAAAAGAAACCAAGAAATAATAATTATTGATTAATCTTGAATAACAATGTTACCTAAACATTGAAGAAACAGCCATTAATAACAAGACACATTAACAAACCGGATTAATCTAATAGTTGGAACTTTATTCATTAGAATATATAAGTTTCCTTTAATCATTAGTTATATGAAGACAAGAAAAAATATATTAATGATTATGAGAATATTAATATTATCCAGAAATCATGATGTTGATCATTCTGATTAACAGTATTTTCTATATAATATTGTTAACATGTAAAATTAACTATTCCAATTGAAAGAGTAATAATTTTCCATGATAAATTCTGATTTCTCATGTAAATTGGAATAATCTGATTTTCAGCTAATCATTAACAATATGATTAACTTTTCTGTTTTTCACCAGCATTTAGTTTTACTTCATCTCCATCTTAATCAAATTAAATCACTTAAGATTAACTATATAATTGATATCATCATGTTCTCATTTTGAATTAATAGCAATATATTTCATTTCATGTATATGAGAAAATGAAAGTTCCTGATTCATGAAATATTATATATTTCAGATCAATGAACAGTAAGGGTAAGAATCATTAATAAACTATTTGGAATAATTTTCCTTTTTTTTATTCCTTCTAAATTATATTATTAGAATTAGAATTAACTTTTTTTTTATATTTGTATCAATTTTATCAACAATTAAGTCACGTGAGAAATGAACTTTTTTTTTCGCTCGTTGAATAAAATGAGGGAAAATTTTGATGTAATTTCAACCAATGATTTAGTATTGAAAGTTAATCACATTTCTGAGGTAACATGTAGTTAGTTTATATTAGCAATATATTTGATAATTGTTTGGGTTTACTAGGTATAATTATCTGACTTAAATTGTGAAGATTAAGTATCAATATAATGATTTGTTGGCCAATGTTTGGACTTGATTATTTATCTGTTTATGTTTATTGAAATTTAGGTTATACCCAAGGAGATGTTGGCCTGGCGATGGGTAAATTGTATGGTAACGATTTCAGTCAGACAACAATTAGCCGATTTGAAGCTCTTAACCTTAGCTTTAAGAATATGTGCAAATTAAAGCCTCTTTTGGAGAGATGGTTAAAGGATGCGGATGCTTCACTTACCAATCCAGGAGTCATGTCATCATCTCAGGCATCAGCTGATGCAATTGGACGAAGGCGAAAGAAACGCACGAGCATCGAGACAACAGTTCGTGTCGCCCTAGAAAAAGCATTCATCTCAAATCCTAAACCAACTTCAGAAGAAATAACTATGCTTGCAGGTTCCCTTTGCATGGAGAAAGAGGTAGTTCGAGTTTGGTTTTGTAATCGAAGGCAAAAAGAGAAACGTATCAATCCACCTCCCAATTCATCAGGAACTTCACCCATTCCAAATGGATCAGGTTCACCCTTCCACCATAGTCTATCAATGGCCTCCGGTGGATTAAGTAATAGTCCTCTAAATAGTCCGATGCCTTCGGATATTGATGAATAAAAGAGAGAGAGTGAGATGCAACAAATTTTACCAGAAAAAAAACACAAGAAATCAGGAAAAATCATTCATAATCATCATCCGTAATCATGACATGATAATTATCTTAAATCATCTAATTAACTTCTCTATTCTCTCACCCTCCATCATTTTTCATCATCAACATCATCCACTCTTCCAATGACCTTTTCCTCAACTTATTCCCTTAAGCAAATCACACACACAACCAAATCTTCAATAAGTCACATAAACAGTTTTTCATATGATAATTTCTAGTTCTGATCTAATTATCTAATTACTTTTACCTCAATTAAACCCTGATTATCCAAATGACAAACTAACCATGAACGTACAAAAAATTAATCAATTAGATAATTAGACTAACTAATCAACAGTTTTCCCATACGATTTCCTTTTGGTGGTAAAAATTATCATCAACTTAATTACCCTAATTAATTAGTTGTTGTAATTTCAGTTGACTTTTTTCCTATCTCACTGTTAATGTTAAATGATAATACACTTAACCACACACACTCATTCATAGTTTCTATCTTTCCTTATCATCATCAAACATCATCACTCCCCATTCACAATTTAAATTGTAAACTTGAAATCCACTCCACCCCTGCCTGATCCCTCCCTTTTTCTGTATAAAATTCAAACCTAACAACCAAAGAGTTGTTAACTCCTTCATCCTCATCCCCATCCTCATCCTCATCCTCATCTCCTTCATCCTTTTCCTCCTCCTCCTAATTTTTTATTCAATTGAATGAAAAACTAGATCAAAATCAAGCTCATCATTTATATACCAGATATGATATTTGGTATAAAAGGATAAACTATAAAAAAACAAGCATAAAGAATGATGATAATATTAATAGTATATAATATATAGTAAATAATATTAACATAAATTGCTGCAATCTACTGGCAACAATAATAAAGTTAATTGAATACCAAATACTAATAATTACACAATAATGATGATAAAAATTGATTGAGAAAACTGCAACTTATATAATACAGAGTGACAATTAATATGTGACTTTTTTCGTACCCCCTCTAATTTTCTTATATCTTGAGTATTCATTAAATATTATATATGGTTAGATAGCTAATAAACTGAAGTTTTAGAATTATGTTTGCAAAATGTTGAAATATTTTTCGATACTTCGCAATGGCTATAAATATGCTACAGTAAAGCCCTAGTAAAAAATATTCTTTTTTCGATTATGGCGTTCAGTGTTGAATTAATTCTATGGTAATTCAATGATGAGTTTAGAACAATAAAAGCAAGAAACTCAGAAAAAATCTGCAGAAAAAAGTAACAAATAGAAAAGTTATTGCAAATATTAGAAATCATGAAAATCCCGAAAATTAAGACAAATTTCGTCGAATTTTGGCCATAACTCGAATTTGACCAATTTTTTTTCTAAAAAGGAAACGGAAAACAAAACTTTAGCTAATTAAGGTAATTTTATGATATAATTACTTTGCTCAAAAAAAAGTATGCGAAAATAGGGAGAGTTTCAAAAAAGTCACATATTAATTGTCACCCTGTACTAATTGAGTTTTAAACCATGAAAAATAATGAAGCAATCAAATCTTGATATGTACATTAATATATATTTAATTAATATCATATGAATCGAGAAGCAATTAAATGCTAAATTTAACCACAATTAACAAAGACATCAATATATAATATAAATACAATTTGTTCATCCTTTTTCTTGTCCCGAATATAAATTGTACAGAAATCAGATTGTCTCTCTCACCTTCATCATTAACATGATCATTATCATGATTATTATTGTGATTATGATTAACATTAGAATTGTAATAATCTTGAAAATGAAACTGTCTTGATTGAGACAATACAGAAAATGTTAATCATAACAATAATAATAACAGATTATTAATGATGATGATACAAAGAGATAGTAAATTGCTAAGCAAACGTAAATGAATATGAATGATTATTGCTATTATATTATTACTATTTACTATTATCATTATGATTATTGAGTTTGGTTATTAGTCATATAAATGTGAAGAAGACAAATAAATCAATGCAATCTTACCTTTCTTTTCATCTTAATCTTGATGATTCTCGGTGATGATAATGTAAAAAACTACAAGACTAACAAATCATGATCCATATTCATCTTCATCATTTAACTAATCATGGCAATTATCCCCTTCATCGTCATTATTATCATCTTTATATCATCATGAATCTTTTATCTCTTCTCTCTCTCTCTCTCTCTCTCTCTCTGTTTATCATCTTTGATCCTTTTTGTTTTATTTGTTGAATATCATCATGATCATGATTCATTTGAATATATAATCATTTGTTAATTTATTATCTTCATTTAATGATAATTGTTCATCTAATTGTCATTTAATTGCTTCTTTCTTTTCATCTCTCTCTCTCTCTCTCTGAATGTGTATTTTTTTTCCTAACTCATTCTAATTAATTATGTGTAGAAACATGGATATTGCTAATATCGACATTTCCATCATTCATCATCTTCATCATCTTGTCACCTTTTTCTCTCTCTCTCTCTCTCTTTTCTTGATCATCAAACCTTTTCATCTGATGGTCAATCGATTGTCCATCAACAACAAACCTTTACTCTTTGAAATGTCAACTCAATGTCAAATTTCAAACTCATAACTTTTTGTTTCATTTCTTTTTGGATAAAATCAATTAGAAAATCAACAAAAGTACAACTGTCAACACTAATTGTCAAGTGAAAAATAAAACAATTCTGATTGATATTTTGTCAGAATTCAAATCATCATAATCACGTTTCTTAATCACTAATTTCTCCCACCAATTGTAACATAAATTTCGCGTCTTTTTCCCTTACAATCATCGGAAAATCAATTTAAAAATTAAAAAATTAATTCCAACATGAAAATATCAGTCAAGTTAATCATCGTCATCATCATAAGTATCACAACAACAATCTTATCAAATAGTTTGCAACTTGTTCCGTAAACACAATAATTAATGTTTTCATGTTAATCAAATCCGATTAATAATCGACATGATTGAATAATGATTAACTGATCATATTGATATTATTAATGATGATAATGTCTTATCATCCAGTCAAACATGAAAAACATATTCTCACTTTGATTTTTTTCTCTGTGGATCTCGAACAGCAAAAAAAAAAGTTCTAATGTTTTTTTCCAACTCTCGAACACCTTACACAATGAATCTGAGCATTATCATGCTCTTTCACAAGGTAATAATCTATGGTATTAATAAGATGATGCTTATGATGATAATGATGATAAATATAGAGGTAAATTATGCTTATTACTTACTAACAACTCGCAACCAAATACAACAAATATAAATAAACAAAATGTGACTCAGGTAAGAAAACATTAACTTATAACCTCCATTACTATTATTAGTGAATGTGATTAGTTAACTAACGATCAACATTATCATGATAATATCTTTATAATTGTCATATAAATTAATTAGCTTTCTATCCGTTTTTTATGTTTTCATCACATTTTAGATTTAAAAATTATACTAATCAGCTTTATGTACACACTGATGAATTGTTGCTCGATTGTATGATTTACCTAAATTTCATTGTTGAAATGATTGAAAATTATCAATCAAATGATTACTTTGAAAGGTTTAATTTTAATTAATGAACAATTTAAATTTTCAAACATTTGATTGAATTAATTTACATGAACAGCGCCATCTATTGTGTTTGATTGAAGTTTTTTGATTTAGTTTGTGATGTAAATCAATTAATTAGTTGATTAATTGTCTCTTTCTCTTCCTCTCTGGATTTTTTTTCTTGATTGTAATTGTTGAGTTGAAAGTGAAAATTATTTAATTGCTAACTATAAAAACTAATCACTTTTTTCTTTAATTAACTTTTTTTGTTTAATTGAATTTAGAAAACAAATTATCAAATTAACAGTAATTGATTGTCAATGTTTTTATTAACAATAAAGCTGAATAAACAATTGGTTGGGATTAAATTTTTCGTTGTTCCATTAATAAGTAATTAGAAATGAGAATTTGATAATTCACAATGAAAGGAGAAAAAAAATCAAATTAAATTAAATATTTACAAATGAAATTTAACTTAATATATAAAAAAAAAGCAAATTGATCATCACAATCATTAGTTAATTGTAAGTGAATATTCAAAGTCTAAATAATTAGTTAATTGTAAAGGAAAATTATTATTATGGTGAAATCAAAGTTATTGTCGATTAGTTTGATTGTGATGATCTTAATTGTTAATCAAGTGAGAGAATCAAATTGTTACAGTTTATCCCCATGGTCAACAATTGAAAGTGAATTACAATTAACTGGTGGGAGTCCAGCATTTGAAAATGAGACTGATGATGTGAATCCATCATCAAGTTCAGAGGAATCGGGTGAACATGAAGATATTGATGATAAACATGATGATAATTGTGACGACGATCATCATAATCATGAAGGTAAAAGTAAAAAATAATCAATTTAATTGGACTGATCGAAAGAGGGAAAAGAAAACAACAACAACTAATCAACTTTAATTTAGTTTAATTATGTTCTAATCTAATGTTTACCAACAAATTGTATTCCAAATAAACAACCAAATGTAATAAAGTCCGTTGATTGTTACATGTTTACAATTATTTATTTTTATCCTCTTTTTTATTATCATGATTAACTTTTTATTTGATGTTCGTAATCATCAATGGTTAATGTTTTCATATTCGTGACAAAATTTACTTTCCAATGATCATCGGGATTCTTGTAATTATAAAGACATTTTAATCAAGTATCTAGTGTTTTTCTTCTACGCCATCATCATGTTTATTATTCTTGATTGATTATTCAGTAAGAGATAAATTAAAATTGTTCGCTAGAGTTATTAATTACAACTGACTGGCTCATGGTCAGATTGATCGGGGGGAGGACGGAAAACGTTACTTGATTTTGGTCTTAAATTGTTGCTGAACCAAATTTGGTCATAAAATTTGGACCCATAAGTTGGATCAGTCATTAGTGACACCATTTGACTTTGTACCATTAAATAATATAACAAGGCTGACCGCTCTTCCGCCTCCGGTTTATAATATACATTAAAATCTCCACCGATGATTACACTATCCACCGCGCCGAAAAAAGTTCCCACAGAATCAATTCCACCAGATTTCAATCTTTCAATTGTTGCCCAAAGTGTAGCCAGAAACCAAAACTGGCCGCCTTCAAATTTTTCGGTTT